CGCTGAATCTGGCTGACCACATTGCTAAGTCAAATGGTTACAAGCGTAGGAAACATTTCTCGGTTGCACGTTGCCTGATCAACTTCGAGCCTCCAGAAACCGATAACAAAATCCCGTTTTGCTTGCCATACATCTCGGAGGAACTCAGCAAGGCAGTAAGAAGATTGATACATCAAGTGGACCTACAAGATTGGATAAGAGTAATAGACATACCACCCCCAAATCTTAAATGTCAGCTCATTCGCAATCGTGGTTACGATAGGTTGTGCATGACCCCAGGGTGTGTAATATGTCCATTCGGCAAAGAGGGAGACTGCATGGTGTCCGGAGTAGTGTATCTGATCACTTGTCAGGCGTATAGAGGCATGTATATCGGCGAGACGGGGCGCCCTCTATGTACACGCATCAAGGAACATCTAGACGGTCTTAAAAAATCGAACCCGGCAACCCCACTGGGCATGCACCGCAGGCAATTCCATAATGACGCGGACATAGGTGTAGAAGTCACGATCTTAGCACGCGAGTCCGAAATCCTGGCGCGCAAGACGTTAGAGGCATTTTGGATTGCTGCCAAAATTCCAAATTTGAATAGGAAGGATGAGTGCACATAGCCATCACTAATGAGATGGCCGCTTATCAGAGCCTTTGCGGGTTCTGAGGTCAATTTGAGGCCAAGCCACTGGGTATAAATAGAAGTTAGAGCTCAGTAACTGGTATACGGTCTGCTGCCAAGCAGTCATCAGCTGTTTTAGGTGAGCGCTGGTCTAATTCTGTATTTACTTTCTTAGCTCTCGGTTTACTGACGCATTGGACGTCTTTTCTGAGTCTTGATGCGGTTTTTGACGGGATAGATTACTCATGCATTCGACGATTTCAGACTCTGAAGAAGGCGATTTTGCCGAAACGTCAGTCGAATAAAGCAATTACTAATCTCGGTGTCAAGCTCAAGCAGTTCTCAATGCAATTTCCACAATGCCGAGATTGAGCGACGGTCGTACTTGGATGATACTGAAAAATCGATATTGATCGATGACGAAAAGTAGCTTATGACACCCGCCGGGGCCCGACGTGTATGTGTGCCAAGTTTGGTCCAGATCGGTTCAGAAATGGAACTTTCTATTCGGAACATACGTACAGACAAACAGACGTTCAGCTTCGGTATCCTCGGATTCAGAATTCGTCCATTCTGAAGCGAGATATGGCGATATACGATCATTCCGACGGACTCTAGTGGAATGTGGCGCACTCTGCCGCACTTCGGCGGACTCTTCTGGAGTGTGGCACACTCTGCCGCACTCCGCCGGAGTCCGCCGCAGTCCGGCGACTTTTTTGCGAATTATAAGCGGTATTGTAGTTTATACATTATTTCACCCAAATATTAGGTTGGTTCAAAAATACACGTTTTTCCTGCCTCTTCTTTCAAACGCTAGTTTTCAATCAAGAATCGTTTTTCTCTAAAACCATCCACACTATCCGAAAGCACGTTTCTTCTACTTTCAAACACACACTTTCTTTTTCGGAGATCTTGTACAGACCGAAGTTCTATGCCTTTGAAGGTGAGGAACTCAAACTTGAAAATTTTTCCTTTCATCCGACTTGCCCTAATTCCATGAAAAGTGCTCAAATTTGTTTCTAAAAATATGTGTTATAATCGGGAAGATATGTGCTACAAAATGCTTACCAAGGCTAAATTTTTTAGAAATCCTGAGCCGAGAAGCTTTGACTCAAACTTAGCTAATGCTGGGATCACTCGGAGTTTTATAAAATGCTTATATGAGAAGCAATTACAGAACTTTTACTTGGTTTAGGTAGAGTAGACCAAGGACTACTGATAGTAGGAAAACGGCAGAATTTTCTCGTTTTTGAAATGAGAAAAAATTGAAGGAATCTAAAAAGTACAGATTTTTGCCTTCTCTAAAATGCAGAAGAAAATGGTACTTTTGCTACCCTGGCAATACTTTTTTCGCAGAAAATTTTTGGTAAAAGCCAAGTTCCACGCTACTACTGAATCGACCATCGGCTACACGGGGGACGTGCGTTATACTACAAAGCCCACGCCGCCAAAGCTTGCCGCCATAGTCGGCACGCGCGCCCAGCTGGCTTACGGTATCCCGCACCCATTTTGCACCGGTGCGCGTGAGCCATGCGGCAATCGCGCGAACGCGTCCTCGCCCAGCTTCGCCGCTCGCGACGTCGCGCCGCGATGTCGCTACTTCTATGAAATGTTACATAGAAACACTCAGAAAAATTTGCTCTTTCAAATTTCAACGCGCGGCATCGTCCGTCGCACCGCGATAAGGTGCAAGATATTGAAAAAAACTTGTTCATTTTCCTTTTTTTGATTGGTTTCATGTTCCTATTATTTTCAAATGAAAACAAAAGCTCGTTTGAATCCAAAAGTCTCAATTTCTTTTCAAATTTTGTTCTTTTTTACTTTGTTTCACGTTTGTTTTTGCCACGATATAGATTTTATTGTCATTGCAAGGTGTGACATGTGGCCTAGATTACAGATTGAGATTGGTAACCTTTCGCCAGTGCTACCCTTCGGCCAAAACTAGGGCAATGCCTACAGCAGTGAGAAGACTTCCATGGTGCCGGAACATATATAGACAAGGATTTTTTGATAACCTACCAACATACAGTTTCCAAATAATGCGACGCTAATCATTCACGTTATATAAAGAAGTTTTCATTTTGTTTGTTTTATTTCGAATTTTTCTTTTTGTTCTAGGCGAAATGCGATCTCTTCCTTAGTTCTATTTTGAAATTGTACATAAAATTTTATTTATTTACGAGACGTGATCAGGCCTTTAACTTTTGTTAAATAAGCATTTTCATTACATTATTTTGTTGTTATCTAGAAACTATAAGAACATGAAACAAATCAAAAAAAGAAGAAAATGAACAAGTTTTTCTTGCATCTTGAACCTTATCGCGATGCAATCTGAAAGAGCAATTTTTTCTGAGTGTTTCCATGTAACATTTCATAAAAGTAGGCATCGCGGCGCGACGTCGCGAGGAGCGAAGCTGGACGAGGTGGCGTTCGCGCGATCGCCGCATGGCTCACGCGCACCGGTGCAAAATGGGTGCGGAATACCGTAAGCCAGCTGGGCGCGCGTGCCGACTATGGCGGCGAGCTTTGGCGGCGAGGGCTTTGTAGTATAACGCCACGCCGCCGGCTACACAATGAGTAGAGTTTGCTCCAATCTAGTTCTTTTGAAAGTAGGTTATGCTCCTTCAAACTAGAGCTTTCCAGAAAAAATTCTCGGTAAATTTTGAGCCGTAAAATCTTCCCCGTGATGAGTGCAATCATACAAAAGTATGCGTTGTATAGCTAAAAGTGTGCTGTCTATAATATTAGGTTGTCCCAAAAGTAAACTCCTTTTTTGATTAACTCAAGCTGTTCTTGTTTTCCTAGTATATTCAGGGTATCGTTCGATAGAGCAGATCAAGCTCTACAAAATGACCGCCAAGAGTTCGCCTAAGTCGCCTTCCATGTAAAGTTTGAAGCCAAAATCGAAAAATTTTCACCTGAAAATTGGATTTCTGCGACGAAGAATCCTACAGACCTCCAACTTGGTCATTATACAGTAGGCACATAGTAGTACACAAATATGTCTTTATCGGATTTTTTCCGGGCTTAGGAAGCGAGAAACAAAAATTGTCCAAGAATGGCAAACTCCGCCCCCCCCCCCCTCCCTCCCACATATGTCATTGTATTAAAAGCCTTAGTAAGTATAATCTCAGAACCTGATCACTGTAAGTGCTCTTATAATCGAGAAATACCAAGTTTTACATTAAAAAACCCGAAAAAAGTGGCATTTTGGCATTTTGAGACCTTATTTGTTTCTCAATTTTGAACCCCGAAAAAAATCCGCCAAATACATTTTTGGATACTACTATGTGTCTACTATATAAAGACCAAATTGGAGTTCCGTAGGAATTTTCTGGAAGGAGATCCGATTTTTAGGGTAGCTGAAAAATTTTGATTTTTGGCTCCAAAATTTACCTAGGTTACGAACTAGGTTGAACTTTGGTAGTCTTTTTGTAGAGTTTGCTGTGCTCTACCGAATGGTACCCTAAATCTGTCAAAAAAACAAAAACAGCTCAAGTTATTTAGAAATGGAGTTCACTTTTGGGACAACCTAATAGTTTGTTGCGCTCAGAAAGATTGTTTTGGAAAAGAATTATCTTCATTAGAAGTGGAAGTTGAGAAAACGTGCATTAATTATGAGTCAACCTAATATTTAGTGCTTAATATGAGATCTCCTGTTTTGTTCAATGCTTTTGAGTCTTTTATTCCAAAAGGGAGATGCTAACGGTCCATATATTTTATATTTCAGTTTGAAAGTGTGACGTTGGAATGATTCATTGAAAGCATGTTCTATAAGCCTATTCATATCATATTTATTCAGTGTTCTGAAAATTTTATGAAGCTCGTTCCTCTGCCTAATGTTTATTTCATTTACCAAGTAGTCTGTTCTGTTGGGAAAAGTTCTTTGCTTTCTTGATCTTCTTTTCTTTTCTTTCGTTCTTGGTCTCTTTAATGGATATGTGAAATACGGATGGTTCCTTTCTTCCAAAGGGTTCACCTTTTCCGATATATTACCAAAACCTTTCATTTGATCGTTGTTAATGACTCAATATTATTGAATTGATGGGTGTTCAGTGCTGAAGCGCATCTCTTACTCGTTCAAAGGATCAAGAGATCAATACGTCATCCATATTGTGTTTTCGTCCATTGGAGTTTATGATTGTCTTACCATTATCACTTTTCCTTTATGTATTAACTTTCTCGACTTTATATGTGAACTTTACTGCTAATGACGAACTAATTCAAGATGCTTTATCCGTGACGTACTTCGCCATATTCCTACAATATGCTTCTGCATCTAACCTGGCTACACCGTGGGCCCTGTACTGTTCTTCAAACCTTCAAGAAGGGTCGTTAATTATTTAGTTTAATGTCGTGTACGACGCATACGTTCTCATCACTGCGGCTATCTCGCCTCGTCGCTGTAGGGCTTCACGGCTGATCTCCTTTTTCTGTTCGGATGCTAAAAAGATGAAGCTGATGAGTGGAATGTTTGCTATCACCTGTTATTATCATGTTTACCATCTCTAGGAAGTTCAGCCTCGCTCTACACTCCGCTTCCAACGTATGGAACATGCCGATGACATCCGACAGCAGTGGGAAGTAATCCAGCAGTACAATTAGCCGTCTTAAAAGGAATTGCATTGGAATCATGATGGGCTTCCCTACTATCTATCTGACCGATGGAAGGCTTCGGCTATGTTCGTGGTCCTCACATCGTACACACCGGACTTATTCCAAAGGCTGGCCAGGGCTCCCCTATACCATAATTTACCTAGGTAATTTGAAAAAATTAGTACAGCACGCATAGTGTGGATGGTTGCGTGGAACAGGCAACTCCCTCAATGCGCGGATTACACCATGCAGACGCCTCGGCAAAAATACTAGGCCTATGTTGGTGTGCCACCAGTCGGCGACGTCTGCTGTGGTGTTTTTACCAGATATGAAGCGAGTGAGTCCGCATTTCGTCGCTGCTCCACGCTAACGCAAGACGGGATGCACAATCCTAGAATGTACTCTTTTCGAAGACGGAAAGGCGACGATAGCAGCTCTTTCGTAGTCCACCATTATCTGTAGTCCATCGAGGTCAGCACCGAATCTAAGCAGGTAGTTCTTTAGTTCAGAAAGCACTGTCTCGATGGACTGTTTATCTTTCTTCTCCATGATGGCGTAGAGATGGGGACGTTAAAGCCACTGCCGCAGACACCGTGTATGACATAGAGCTGCGACCCCTTCTTGACGCATCGCGGGGCTTTGCTGTGGACACCGTCCGCCACAAGCACCGATACGCCACTCTTGCAAGCCTTCTAAAACAACAAACTTCGGATGGCTGAAAATATGCTATATATCGATAAAATGATGTGAAAGTGAAAGAATAGACATGCTCAGTTAAAGAACATCATCTTTGAGAAAAATGAGTCGTCTGTAAATAATACCAGTATACGCTATAAAAAATCCTGAATGATGTCAGTAAGCGATTACAAACAATGTAAAACAAGAAGCGAAAGCAAAAACGTCGAAGAAAAGAGCACTAGTCAGCGATAATCAGTCAATCAAGAAATGGCATTTATTTCGCAACGTTCAAAACGGTCACCATGATATGCGCGCGTAGTGTAGTTTGAAACAAAATCGCACTAAAATCGGAACAAAACTAAAATGATGGAGTTCGTTCACCTACCCAAGCGGCTCAGACTGGCGGCGTTCGTTCCCCCACCCCAGCTGCAGCGAAGTGTCCCACCACGATTTCCTCTTTTGGTAAGGACGAGGCTCAAGCAAGGGGCGTGTCTGCCTGGACTTCTGAAGCTGTTTTCTCGCTCTAGAGGCAATATTTTGATGCCGCAACCGAGCTATGGTTTGTGGAGGGCCCGCTTCAATAATCTGTCAAGAATGAGGTGCTCCCACATCAGCCCAGACACCGCTTATAAGTAGGTACACCACTGCGAGTCTGGCCCATGATTCCAGCGGCACAGTGGCACGGGCTGTTTGCACGTGATCCTCAGAGGGAGTAGAGTCGCAGTAGACATATCAGTGCGCTTGTGAAAGCTGGGCAGCATGCTGGGCGTATACTGTATACGCCATGTTTTCGACGTACGCAGCGAAGTCCCCAAATCTGACCCATCTAACATGACTGAACGTTTCTACTCTCGTGTGGTGGGGGGAAGGATACGTCGAGTCACCGAAAGGAGGGTCCCGCCCGGACATTTGCACCAAACATCACTACCACCAGGCCTTCAGCATCATGCTGGCTGTCCGCGCTAAGGTGGAGCCTATCGGCGACCCAATGTCCTCCACCCTGTGGTCGATACTTATGTAAAATTTTCTAACCTATTAGCATAACGGCTGTTAGACCCATGTTAGATTCTCTGAGTTTCTGACTGTTCAGCTTGAAAGAACTAATTATAATACCATGCTTTAAAACTGCGAAGAAATCACTTGTAAGGGAACACACTTACGCCCTTAATGTTGACATTCTGATTATAGACAGGGACACTTGACGTTCACAACAAAAGCATATTGGTGTGAGGTTTAAGAAATCCACGAACTTTTTCACTCCGCTCAGATACGGCTACAATCTTGATTTTATAAGTTTGTATGCAAATCTTCGCACGCAAGAGTTGGAAGCCACTGCTGCAGATGAGGGAGTTTTTGTATAGAAGAAAGAATATCAGGATAAGGGTGCTCTAGTTCAAACACTTGCGTAATTTTGATTGGGCCGCTATCACTTCTAGATTTTAACTTCAAAGATTCCTTGATTTCTCTAATTTAGCATTGCATGGATTGAATGATCTTTCTTGCTGTTTAAATAAGCCGGAATAGGAGAGGTCTTCTATGTCGTCATATCCTAGAAAATATTATGACAACCGCGCTTCGCTGGCACACAAGGAAGCACGATGAATGGGTACTATTCCACACTTAGTGACCCAAAAAGTGAAAATCACGAACTTTGCTGAAACTTCGTCTAGAGGGGTTGTTTTGCATGCTGATTACAAATATCACATTTATTTTGCACGGTATGCCATTCGGTGGAGTTACGGTAGGTATAGTAGATGCCTAAAAATCCCGAATCTGCTCAAAACTTGCCCACAAGTGTTACTAACAAGGAAAGGATACTCGGTCACCGTGGCCATTTGGAATGCGATATAAATTGTAAGATGCATCTCGAAACGCTGATTCCAAATCTGTGCTCGAAATCTACGAAACGATCTTCTGAAGGAAGTTATGAACTTTTTTCAGTAGAAAATTTGCGTACTTTTAGGTAATTAAAATCACCAAATTTGTTCCAAGTTACCATTTGAAGCTATTGAAGAGAATCTTTAAAGGAATACTGTTGTATTATACCTGTCTAAATCATATTCAGCATTTGGAAAGGAAAGAAAATTTTTTATCGATGATTTTGACCCTCCGCAGTAACGCAGTTTATTCATGGAGAAATAATCATAACTCCATCCAGATTATCGTTTCGCAGATATGGAAGACAGCATTCGAACCATCAAAAGGCGCATTTTTGATATACAAATCATTATGAATGGCTGCGGTGACCAAGTATCCTTAGCTTGTAAGCACGATGATTACGAAAACCATGCTTTTTTGCGTTCAAGAACTTGTTCGGGGTGTACGGTAGGGTACTAAAGTGATAGATCTGCACGAACCTTTGTGCAGGGGTGTTATCTGACGTGCTGATCATGTATATCGCACTCGTTGTGCACGATGAAGCCTTTCCGTGAATTTCTGGGGTTTGAATCTGGTTGAAAAGCGAAAAAAGCTCTTTCACGCAACGTAGATAATCGTAACTCTAACAATAAGGAATCTTTGCGGCGAACAAGCATTTGCATTCAGCATGCTTAAGAATCCATTTAGGCGTTTTAAGCAAATTCGGGACTCTTAGCCATCTACCGCAGACCCGCCGTAACCCGGAAAAATGGTGCTATAGCAAAACTAATATGATGTACATGTTCAGCTTGCCAAATAAATAACCCACCTAGACAAAGTTTGGGACAAATCCGCGATTTTGACCCCCTACCGTAGTTCTTCCGTAACTCCACCAGATGGCAATACTACCCGAAGTAACTGTGATATTCGTGATCAGCGTGCAAATCAACGCCCTAGATGGAGTTGCAGCAAAATCCGTGATTTTCATTTTTGGTTTAACTGATGTGGAATAGCATCGATAATGTTTTGGGTAAGAGCTTCCCTCGCCTTATTGTTAGAAGCAGTGTCCGGCAGAAACTCAATTTTCAGCTTTTTCTTTATGTCTCTGAAGACCTTGCTCTGCGGTGATGTACATGTTTACGACCTACTTCTAAGGTGTAATCTCCTAACCTCCCAAGCGGTTTCTCTCTCCTGCTTTAAGGTCGTGATTTAACTAATTGTATCCGTGCAGGAAATCCAGACCAGTTCCCTATGGAGAGGTCCGCACAGATTTTCGGAACGTTTATGGACAGACAATGTGATTTTGCAATTAACACTATTCATTATCAGCACGACCGAATGATGAGGACATGGCAGATGAGATTATAGCAAAATGATGTACAGTATTAGAGCTCAACCCGAGTAGATATAAAAATCTAGTTTTCTCATGTATATGTTCGCTACCACATGATGGCTTTTCCACGGTCCTCCGGACTTCCATGCTTCTCACACTGTCGCTGTATGATTTCTTCGGAGAAGGACTTGCGGTCATACACAAGACCAAGAGCCGCACATGTGTCAATGAATATTCGAGTCCAATTCAATTTTAGAGAATACTCGGATGTGCGATAGTCCTAAAAATGTCCTTCATTCCTCTCAATAATTATAGGTATCCATGAGAGTAAGTCTACCTGAGGGAAAGTATGGTGAAAATTGTGACCACCCTCTCCAATAGCAGATACCGTAGTCCAGACTGATTCCACCGGTGAGATGTGCTTATCGTACGGCTTGAATCCGAAACTAAAATATAGGATGCGATTTTTGATACCAAGGCAGCATATCCAACTTACTAGTGGGCTGCACTATTGATGAGCCAAGTAGCATGGAGCAAAAGGCAGTAGCGAAGAAGTCCTGCCGTATAAAATGCTACAAATGCAGATTCTCCCCAGTATTTTACAGGAATTGCCGTAGGGATTAGGAAACAGAAGATGAGCACAAGTGGGAGGTAGTACCTAGAATTTTAACATGTCTATAGTAGGATTTTCTACCTATCCCAAAAACTTACTTTCTCTGGAAGGTACACACTGGATCAGCAAAGAGATCAGATAGATCGAGTTTAGCTCCTTGTTCTTTGATCTACAATTGGCTGTTACGGTAGTTGCAGTGATCTGCAGCCGTGATTTGCCATACCTGTGGATGTTTTCTGACCAAAAGCCATCCCATATGGGCAAAAAAGAATCCACGTGTGGTGTTATGCGGATCGGCATGAGTGTCAGTCCATTTGTGATGACAACGGTGATCGCGAACCCATTCGATAATGTCGTTCTGAAAGGGGGAAGTTTTAACTCACATTGCGCTAATGCCAAGTTTCTTGGCCTCTAGTGAGCCCCTGATGTCTACCCTGATTATGAACTATCATTCAGCAGACTGTTACGGATGTCACAGGTCAGTGAGCTTTGAAAGTTCATTCTGACCTTCATCACTGATCACACCATAACCGTGCGCTACCGCGTGTTCCCATTTATCGGATTTCCAAAACATGTACGATAAGGAATTTGCAGAAAGCACTATATTAGAATATACGGAGTTGTTGTAATACAAGGCAAAACAAATCTTTGGAATCAAAGCTAAGGCGCCCGAAACATACGCGTTGAACTGTAGTTATAAAATTCGATTTTCTTTGATTTGTAAGTCTGAATCATCTCATTTCATGACATTCTTCTTCCAGTTCTCATGAAATCCTACGATACACGTTTTCCAGAAATTGCATTTTTGTCATTCATAAATCAGAAAAAACTGTAAAGGGTCATGGCGGTCGGTCAGGAGGCAGCAAAGGCTTGCCGCTTCTGCTTATGGAAGTATCTGGGGGACTTCAGACTTCCTCGCGCCTCTAATTACTTCTTCGCACTTCTAATTATTTGATATACTCTGTGCCAAATTGATCTTTAACTTGATCGTTAATTTCTCAAGCGTGGCAAGTTTTGAGATGGCTTTTATGTTTTAAATTCATAGCAAATGAGGTAACAAGTTCAAAAAGGACTTATAGATAGCCATCCAACGTCAAAGACGTGAAGAGATTGATTGATTTGCAAGTATGAATTGGTCTATTCAATCTTCAAACCAGAATTTCAAACATGTTTTGTAAATCTTTCTCATGTTATTCCGATCGATGACAAGGACTTTGAAGACTAAATGGATTCGTCCCCCTTATGCCTCGGGCAGAGTTCACGCGATTTGGTCGTCCCGACTCAATCGCGACAAGACAACTGTTACGAGTTCATTGCATGCCGACCAGCTTGCATTTCTGTTGTGATACTTGTCCAGCCCGAAATTTTTGAATGTAAAATGAAGATAAATGGAAATCGCGGCGATTGAATCGCGACGATCAAATCGCATGAACTCTGTCCGGGGCCTTATTCCGCGGCAGAATCACTTCCTTATGTTACGAGTTTTGGAGTAAAGTGCCCTGGATATAAGATTTAAATAGGCTGAAAACGATTATAGCTGAGATTGAAAGAAATTACAAGATTTCCAGATTGATCCAAAGTGAGATATTCTTCAAAAAGATTTTCGCTAAATCCTCTTTCGCTAGACAAATCAGAGGTACGAAAAGTGATTAGAGGCGCGAGGAATCTGGAGATACCCAGGCATTTCCAGAAGCAAATGCGGTAGGCCTTTGTGCCTCCTGCATGACGTCTAAGGGTTATAAAGTTTACCTGCAGAGCCGAACAGTTCATAATCATCAGCAGGATTCGGACGGGCAGTTTAGCTTTATAAGATCTGTGAGACCATAGACGATGTGCCCCGGCAGTGATGCCAAGGCCACCGAAGATGTGCAAGAACACCACTAAAAACAGACATTGATATACAATAAGAATTTTTTTGTATATGTATAACCAGTATTATTTTATTTCTATGAAAAACGGCATGCGTGAATCGTCAAATGGGATACAATATTGTAGCAGAAACACGAAAAACACAAATTTCTGATGAAAGGTGAAGGACCTGTTTGCTTGAGCTCATACTCTGCCTAATTGTTCTCATAGATATAAACTGGCCCTGTGTTATCGGTGACATTGATGCATATATATGAAATATAAATGTTGCAATTTTTGAAAGAGTTCTCGAAGGATTTTGAGTTTTTAGACTTTAATTCATAACAAAAATTTACGAAATTTTACGATTGGCTTAGATTCCGAAGTAAATTGTAAGGTATATAATTGCTGCTAGTAAGTGCCAACACGTCGAAGATTATCTACGTTTGGTCAATGGCTTTCCTAAAAACGAAGAAGTTTTGGAAAAGGCAAATTGAAATTTACTTTTGGTAAAAAAGTAGGCATGACCTATCTTGTCTTTCTGCGTCTGTGCTATTGCATCTTATCAGCTTGAATTTGCTTTTTTGCCCAAATGATAACTCAAAGATCGCACCAGGAATGTGACGTCAAACAACAAAAGCCGTGCAACTTATCAGTTCTTTACCCGATTAGTCTTTCATAGCGTTTTCTTCCGTTCTCTGATAAGGAATGTAGCGTAGCAGGTGCGCATCTATGATCACGTACAAATTTTGCAAAAATTCTGCAAAAAATTTTAGCGCGAATGCTCATATTGGATATCTCCAGAAAGTATTTTAACTTTGAAAGCAGCAAGCGTTATATATTATGTAATTAAGTAATAAACCCACTCCATGCCACAGTTTGCCATTTTGCTTGGAAAACAACTTGATAGAGACCGATCAAGCTTCCAATGTGTAGCGCAGCAAAAAGAGCCACGTTACGGTAGACTACGACGGTTTTGTAGTTGTACTGTAAAGAGAAACCGAATTAACAAATAACCACTGAATTTTTGAGAAAGTCGAAAACATGAGAAAATTCGTACTTTCTTGCCTTCCTCTTGAAGTTTAGCCACCTCGTCCAAATCCGCTGCCAGAAACTGCTCAGCTATAGCTTCATCCACTTTCGGTTTCTTCATGCTGTTAGTTCCAGGAATCGTCATTGTTACCTGGGTATAAGGTGAGTAAAAGATATAAAATTTCTGATGAAAAAATTCTCGAGGGAGAAAAATGCGAATTAGTGGTAGAATGTTGGTATATAAAAATGAAAGAATAAAAACTGCTGCTACTATTGCGCACAGACTGCTTTTTCGAAAGAGGAACTGAGATTGAGGACCTAGAGTACGAAGCGAATTGTAAGCATAATAACTGCTATAGTAAGTGTCAACAAGTCGAAGATAATTTTAACGGGGTGTCAGTGGCTTTTCCAAAAACGAAAAGAAGTTTTGGAAACGTCAAATTGAGATTTCTTCGAAAAAAAAGATAAATTTCGAACTTTCGCCACTTAGCGAGTGGTTGACGAAGTGCGCGCGAGCACATGGACGAGACGGGTGTGGTATGGCGTGATCACGCCACTGACCGCCTCGATATCCAATAGGAGAGAGCAAAAAAGAAACACGGTTTTCTTTAGGATAAACCAAAAGCGTAAGCGAAGGCTGTGCGTTTGTCTTCTTTTCCCAAAAAAATGATATTCTGCATCCGGACAAGCATTTTCAGGCGCAAGGACTCCTACAAGAAAAGGATACATGGTCGAAGTCACTTTTCACTATGAGGTGTGTGCTATCTTACAAAGTATGGAACGCTGATTCCAAATCTACTTCCTTTATCTGCAAGACGCTTTTGGGAGTGCAGTTCTAGAAAATTTTTGAGGTAAAAATTCAGTGATTTGGCTAAGGTAAAAAAATGCTGAGTTTTTTTAGGCGCTTGAAAGGAGTAATGACTGAAATGAGATTAGATTGAAGGTTTATTGAAAACGCCTTAGTAGTAATCATGGCCCCATTTGAGTTCCCGAACTAAAGTCCATAAAGATTTTATTGTAGCGGCGCTTTCAAATTTTTACATAAAAAATTTCCACAACTCCCCTCCCCGAAGCGCTTGCAGGTAACAAAATAGATTTGAAATCATAGTCCATGCTCTATAAAACAGTAGAAACTCTGTATGGAAACCGCCAAGTATCTTCCCTTGTCAGAAAAATGAACTATGTGGTCGTTGATAAATTTTTCGTTCCAGCGTATTCCCAGACCTTCCTGTGATTCTGTAGAACTGGCTTCATCTTGCAATAAGATCGACAGCATGAGGCGAATCACCGTTAGGCCTAAAGGGTCGGGCATACTTCACGCGATTTTTGTCGCGACGCGATTTGGCAGTATTCCAACTGTCCGTGACTAACTGCAGGCACATTTTAAATGTACAGAAGATAGGGCATTTTATTAATCCACGTGAGTTATACACACTATGCATGCGCAGTTTGCTAGTGTTGGATCTGAAGACTTATGGCGAATTGCCAAATCGCGTCGCGACTGAAATCGCGTGAAGTATGCCCTGCCCTTAAGGCATACCTCACGCGATTTGACCAAATCGCGACGTCCACGCGACTTGGCGTTCTGCCAGATTTCCACAAATTCGTCGTGGGCGATTTTCAAATGCATAGGCATGTAGCTTTTGTAAGTTCTTGCAAACAGATCAGGTCCTGTTCAAACAAAGGGCGGTAACGACCAGTTACGAACATCCGTGCCGAATCGCTCAGCGACTGAAATCGCGTGAGGTATGCTTTAGGCCTTAGCTTCATGGCATGATCGTTATACTGTATGATTACGGTAGGAAATCTCAACAATTCTAATGTAATTAGAATTTCAGCAAAAAAATTCCAAGAAGCTTGAAAACAGTGTGCATTTCCGTGCAGTTGATAAACATTGCACAAGACTCGGTTTGAGTGAATAAATGACAGTTATTAGACTTTCTGGTACTGCATGAAAATACGATTTTCATCTCCTGCCTTCTAGTCTAGGAACTTTTGGCTGCTTTTTTGTATAGCTTAGACTATTATGGTTCGAAAAGTTACTTCAAATTCACTACAGTATCGTAATAAGCCACCTCAAACAAACAGTATACAAATATTTTTGGAGTCCATACTTAAGATAACAGTCGAATACCATAGATAAAAGATGAGCAAGGAGTCAACATAAGTGGCCAGATTACGGTGACAGAAGGACTTCTGCAGGTTTGTTATCGTGTCCAGCAATGTTAGCGCTTTTATAGCGAACAAAGGCCCGGTATCACGCCCCGACCGGGGCAAAGTCCAATTCTCCGCTAACTCACAGCTGCAGTCTAGTTTCGCTTTCTCTAGTCTAGCAGGTCATGACCATGGCATGATCTTCGAAAATTCCTAGTTTTTAATGATAATCGAAAGAATAAATAAAAGTGCATGCAAATGCGTGACTTCTAGAAAAAATAAATTGCCTATCAGCACGAATAAAGTACTGCAAATACAATAATATTTATTTTTGGTTAGATATTAGAACACTGATCATAAAAGAGAGATTTCTGGTAAATGTTTATCAGAGTAACCATGGGACTGCTGAAAAAGCGACCAGTGAACAATTCCAAAGACAATTGACTATCGCAAATGGATCCAAATGGTAATAGTTGGTTGACTTTTCCCATTTGTAAGTATTTTTTATTATAAATTGCCTCTAATTTCCTTCAATTTTTTTATAAACTTCCCTGGTTCACATAAGATGAAGCACATTGACAATGCAAAGATTTGCTTACTTCCGCAAAGTTCGCACTTGGTGTCAACGTTCGTCATTTGAAGTTCTGCTGAAAAGTGACACATTAGTGCGATGTGAAGAAAATATCCGGAAGCGTTAAAGATTATAGAATACACTCAAAGACAATTCGAGGACATTATTTATCAAAAATTAGATTGCATTTACAGCATAGATTTTGATACTCATGGCCTTCGGCATTGTTGTCTTCAACAAACTTTTTGTCGGACATCTTGGATTATTGATTGAAAATAATTAAGTATTGTTGTTATGATAATTAGTTTGGTAGATAAGTCTTGCATTAAAAAATCTAAACCTTTTTTCAATAGAGTTACCATATCCCAAAACGATATAAAATTATTGAGAAAGGCTCTCTTCTGGAATTGAAGCAATCGCTCAAAGTGGTAAAACGTCTACTAAAATTTAATTTTATTCTTACTTATGGTTTTTTGATCTGCTTCTTCCACCTAAAGATCAGCTAATCGAACGCTTATACGTTCGCATATCTCTATCTTTATGATAAATTGTAATTTCAGCATAACTTATAAAAAATAGATGTTAGTAAGTTTAAGAACAAAGTCTTCATAATCTTGGTGCTTCATGGTCAACCTAACAATAATCATTATTCATTTTAGCACATTATTGAAATTTATTGGTAAGACCAGATATGTAAGACAAAGATTTTGGGCTCCACTGTAGTAAGCATATTTGTCCGCTATTCTTGACCGATGAATCAGAACCTTGAGTGATGGGATCTAACATCTGCGCAAAAGGCCGCGACCAGAGAACACTCCGCAAATATGAGTGAACTTTGCACCGGGTTTGCACCTGTTACGCTACATTTTTTCACATCTGTTTGGTGGAGGCATTAGACATCTAAAAATATCACCGAAAAGGCGAGGATATTGCATAAATTTCAATTAAAGACGATTTCTTCTGATTGTAGAACAAGAAAAGAAGAATGAATTTCTCGTCTGATTATGTCGTAGACAAGTTCCAAGCCCATATAACCAGCAAAATATCAAAAAAAAGGTGGAAATGTGGTCACATCGTGTGGATTTGCTTTACATGAGGAAATGAAAAGTCGGGCTGAGCCGGGGATCGATCCCGGGACCTCTCGCACCCTAAGCGAGAATCATACCACTAGACCACTCAGCCACGAATGCCTTCGTGGCTAGACTAGTAGACATTGCGTAGCAATCATGTCGGCGATGGATCGCAACAAAAGTTGCGTACCATTTTGGAAGTTGGTGCAAGCAAGTCGAGAAAATAATTTTAACAAGCAAATTCTGTATGCCTGGCAACTACATATTTTCACTTCCATACTTATCTTCATCATCTTCAAGTATACCGCACAAAATGACATCAGGAACGAGAAATTTTTCTGAAGCACCAAAAAAGAGTATTTGTAAGGTCATTAACAGCAACATACAGCATTATCGATACTAAGAGTTGCTATCAAATTAGCGCATATTGCTTTTGATGTTCGATTTCTACCATGATTTAATGTCAATCATTATCAAACATAATTGGATTTTTTACATATAACTCGAATATCTCATGTTATTTATGGATTTTTCACATGTTATGGACGTTTTGTATACAGCAATGTTATGAAGTAGAAAATGAGAAAGCCATGGAAGTAGGATTTTTATTTATTATGCGCACATATACATACAAATAATTTCAATTATATTGAAAAATTAGCTTATGCTCCATATATAAATTTGATTTATCGAAGAGATCCAAGATCTCGAAAGGAGGTACCATGACAAAGACGAATAAAATACTTAAATAAACTCAGGATTTGAATAAATACTAGCATGCTAATGTAAGTTTAAAAGTCAATCAGTTTCTCTTCATGTTTCGAATTTTGTCGAGCCAAGATTTTTTATCCGGTTTAGGAAGTCGACTGGTAGGAGGACATGGCGGAGGGCTACTATTAGGTTTTGGTGGATCCAAAATGTCCATGACAGGATGCCGTTCCTGTGGTCGGCAATCCATTCGAGGGGATTCCAGCGTCTTCTGGAAATTCTCACAATATTTTTACAAAGGGAATTTGCTTTTGAAAGTGCTCACCACTTTTCTCTGTGCCAATTGCGATGGCGGTCTGATTCGGGTGAGGTGAACAGGCTGTGATCGTTGAATCTTTGAAGTTCGTCTTTCCGTTTCTGCGGCAGCTCCACGGACGTCTTCTTTTCTTCGTTCGTCAATTTGCTTCCGCACATCCTCTGCATAAGTTGGTCGATCGTGGTTATCCATACTGTAGCCTCTTTCGAGTCTGCGTAACCTTTCAACGCGTTGCATGTCCGGGAGTTGGTCGTATGCTGAAAAAATAAATGTTTAAAAAATTTAAATGCTGTAATGAGTTACGCAAAAGTAAGCAAAAGTTGGAAGGATTATTTCAACACAAATTTATCCGTAATTTTTATAATTGCTTACTGTTCTATAATTTCGAAGGATTATGGTAGGTGTACGGTAGTGTTCGATTTCTGCCAATTCACATCTTTTCAAACATTCGCTTATTAGACTTGGTAGGTTACTCGGTGTGCTGTTTACAACACCCTTGATTACATTACAGGTCGTTGCTGTGGCCAGACGACCTACCGTACACCTACCGTACACGACAGGTACTACTGTATGTCTAAAGATGTGCTCAGTCGAGGAATAGTCCTCAGCATAACAAATACCTCTGTGTTGCGGTGGTTTTTCCGCAAATTTTCGTATCATTACTGGTGTAGAGTTGGGACTTTGAAAAGGTAGTTCTTGAAGCGAAGAAGTTGGAAATTGTCCGGTGTCGATTGGTCTAAACACAATGGATTTCGGAATTTTCAAATTTTCAAAAGAAAATCATATGCGAGCTTCTGAATCCAACCTCTTGCTATAGCTTTCCGCACTGGGTTGTTTCCTGATCTTAATGCTTCTTCTTGTTTCTTCAAAACGTTTAAGACGACGTTGTTCTTCAACTTCGATCAAGCTGAATTCAATAGCTCAGTTCTTATTTTGTTATTTCCACTATTTTTTACGGTACCTCATGGGTCTGCTAGAAGAATTTCGCGGCTTTTCGCGAATATACGCTGGTGGAGGCATTTTTCTCGACTTGTTATTGAAGGACATTTCTCTCATCATATGTTCAATACGTGAAGTGGCATAGGGTTTCTCCTGAGCGTTGGAATGTGCTGCATCTGTAAACATACCACTTGTTTACGATAATATTTACCTAGAGATGGTCATTAGTAGGGTCCACTTGGTCACTTAAGCTAATTTCTTTCTAAGAGCTTCATAGCAAAACCAGACTTACTTCTTCCATTAGCAAACATTGTCAGAAACTCGCTTTCAAGGTCTTTTTCACAGTCTACAGTCTTCTTGGTCAGGATTCTTCTAGAGTTTTCTATTCGGGAACCTTGAAGTTTGAACGGCAAGAAGAAGTTCATTTCTCTTTTGGCCTAGGATAAAATTAGGCATAAAAGTGCTGAGAGGGTTCAGAGCAAAAGCTTAAACAAACCATTCTATTGGTCAAATCTTCGCCATGGAACGAAGCGGGACGCTTTGGACGAGCTTCCCCTAGCCTTATACGCAGTCTTTCATTCTGAAAAGTTCAAATTCGATTAATTTTTTCTCTTCTGTACTTCACCCTACCTGAGCATGAGTAACAAGTAGTGAAGATTGAGCAGCGATTAGATCGAGCTCTGCGCGGATCGCTTCCCGCTCTCGATCTATCAGCGCCCATTTCAAATCCGAATATTTTCGTACAGTATTTTGTGTGAAGGAGTACAATGTTTCGTACAATGGCAACGCGTCTATTTTTCGTTGCCAAACGGCATCATCACAGCCGGATTCTGAAAAAAAGACATTTATTGATAATTTGGGGGTGGGGGGGGGGGGGAGGGAATAAGGTAACTACATAATGACAGTTCAAAGTCAAGTAATTACCTAGATATCGACTTTGCATTAGCGCAAAGTTTTCTCTTTGAAGATTTTCTAGACGTTCGAGGCATGCCTGATGAGCGCTTCGTTCTTGTGCCAATCCATTCAAAGTCTGGAAATTATTATAAGAAAGTTTTTCTTTTTGTAGAAAGGCCTTCATTACCGATATAAATTGAGATCCAAAAATATTCCTTACACTACTAAAGGTTCGTCAAAAATGTAGTCCATAAATTAACCTCTTCCTCTCATCTAATGTATTCCTGCTTCTTTAAAATTCAGAAGCCCACTAATTTGACCCCTTTAGACCACTAGAGCAGCAAGGATTGAGCAAAGAACAAAAAGTGAAATTCCAAAATTTTTCCAATGAGCCGGATTATTCTGATCGTTCTCGAACTCATCAATTTTCAGCTGCTTGTCTTCATTCAACTTTTGATTCTTATTTTTCTCATTAACTCATTTTAACAAGTAAGTCATTCAAAAAAGTGAAATGAATTGCTCACCTTTTGCTGAATATTTGCAGCATCGAGCTTGATGCTTTGCACCTGACTCTGGAATTTTCGCAGACGTTGCTCAATCTGAAATACGCCACAATGTCTGCGGAACTATTTTTCTATAGGGTAGCTAACTTTTTCCAAAGCAGTCAAGGGCCCTCTGACAAGGCGTTCGTCCAGAGTCAATTTGTCCAAAGCTGCGTTCATCGCGCATCTTTGGCTCAAAGCATCTATCTGTAAAAAATTAGGCAAACGAAAAAAATAGAAAGCACACTCATTATATCAATAGTGCCCTATCAGACCTGCTCATCGAGTTTCTGTGTATGGAATTGTAATTTGCTAAATTGTACGCTTTTCTCGCGAAGCTGCTCGACAAGACGTTGATTTCGCATCTGGAAACAATTCATTTAAAAATGCATCTATTCGCAAAAAAATGTGCACCTTTAGCTCCTCGATTTCCGCTTCAAGACTTTCCTTTTCGTGCCTGAGCCGGGTCTCGCGATCAACTCGAAGTAGGCTTTCTGAACAGAAGCTTTCACTTTCATAGATGGTATGATTCGTTGAGAAAAATATCCTAACTTCTCAAAGATGATTACATGTGCAGGAACGACAACTTTTGTGAATTCGATTTTGCAAAAGTGACAATGCACGAAGTTTGCATACATTTTGGCTTGAAGAAATGCATATTTTAGTTCAAGCACTCCAACCTGGATGATCGTAGTTATTGTGGACGTTCAAGAAAGATGTCGCTTTTCTTTTCGTTCGTAGATTATCGGAATCGTCACTGTCTTCTACGGGATAGTAAGACATCGGTCGCGGTGGCTGAAAATTAACTTTGGAGCTGAGGCAACTCAATTTACGATTTTTTAAGGCACTTAACAAGCACTTTATTGCCACTAAGGAATATCTACAGCCTTTCTTTTAGCAATTTCTCGAAAAAAAACCAACCTTTGCAGCTTGTCGTTGACGATGGCTCGAATTATCTGCAAAAGATATAGAGTGTAAGATTATATTAGAAGACTTATAGACATCATGCCAATTACAGAAGTGAAAGTGTTGCATTTCAGAGTTATTAATGTATGTACTGAGCCCTGATATTTTTTCGCTTTCGGAAGCTTAATTTGAGGAAAAAAACTGGAAAGGTAAGGTCAGTTTTCATCTAACTACCATTGAGATATCTCGGGTTGCTCCATAAGTTTTCACCAAAAAGATAGTCGTTCTAAAAATGTTTGAAAGAGGTTCCAATCCACATTGTTATATTTTTTCGAAATTATGACACATATATTCCACTACGCTTGTTAGAGATCAAAAAAGAATTATAGATTGTCTACTATGAAACATTATAACTATTCGCTGAAACATGGTCAAATCAGCAAAACTTACCCTCAGTCAAAAAAAGTAGGTCATGAAACAGCATAAAATAAAACCAAAAATTTGCTGGGCCTTTTAGCATTTAGCGAATAGAATTTGAAAAACACGATTCTATCGTTTCTATTTTTGTTTGTATCTGCCTCATATGCTAATCCAAATTTCCTAAAGCATATTGGAAAAGTGCTTGATTTTTTGAGCATCATATGAATCTATCAAAGTGGAAAAAATACGCTTTAAAAAATTTTGCTCAGCCTAATGGACCAACCCAACCCAATGTTAAGACCTTAAAAAAGTTTGTTATACTTTTTTCGTCTTCCTCTAAAAAACTTTAGAAAATTTGTTAAGATTTCATATTTCATATTTGGGAAGTTATGAAGGGCTACGTGTTTAATGAAAGGCGATTCTCTGAAAGCACTCCAGCCTCCATTTTTTTTATATTTTCAAAAATTCTCTAATTTTTCTTCTTCATCTTTTTTTTAAATTTTTATAGACTTCCGAGAGCATCATAGTAAGAAGGCGATTGGAAAGTGCAAGCTCTCTGGTAGCGCAAGCAGAAATCGGCCAAAAATAATGCGGGTTTCATTTGAAATTGCATTCATCTGTTGTGACTCATCAACGTTCAAAAATTCACTACCTTCCACCTTCCGTTGAATGTATCAAAACTTATGTTCTTCCTAATAGAAAAAAGTCAAATAGGTTAGATTTATTGGCTTGAATTTATTTGATAAATCATTTACCTATGTTAGAATACATCGCATTTGCCTCGTCCTCAGACACCCTTCTGTGCCTTTTCTTCAAAATCGGCTTCGTCGCAGCTGGAAGCAACGACGTGGCCGACACGGCCACATTTCGTTTTCGGAAACCGATCAGTTCGAGGAAGGATGAGCGACTGGAGGCTGAAAGTGAACTTAATTGATCTACATCGAACCAGATGGCATTAACTGTACAAACTCACTCATTCCTTCGCTTGCGTCTCGGCTCGACGAAGCTGATGATGGCGAAGTACATTCAGACATAGACATGTCACATCGACGCGCAGCTGTTCGACGATTTCGACGTTCAACCTAAAAAAATAAACGAAAAAAATTGTAATTGAGTGGTAGGCATGAAGGAAAAATAAAATTTGATGTCACTTTTCCCTCTCTTACGATATAATAATATCTTTTTTGCGTTCTTTATTTTTGGATCAAGAGATTTCATAGCATATGGGAGTGTCAAACTCTTGAGATCATATATTAGGCTGTCCGAATCTAAATTCGCTTCTATAAATAAATCAATTTTTGTTTCTCTAGCAGACTTAAACCACAGTTCGATAGAGCAAGGCAAACACTACGCCGTCACTAGCGAAGATTTATTCAAGCCGTAAATCTTGTAGAGCTTGAATTCAAGATAGAGGAAAATTTCACCACTCAAATTCAGATTTTCCCCAAAAATCCTACAAAGCTGGAAATTGGTTCCTATGGTAAATAAGTCGTTAATTACGTATTTTCATTTCATAAATTTCTTCACTAAATCAAGTGTAATATATTAACTTTTTAGCTTAATTTTTTTTAGGATCGAAATTTGACTCATAGTATGTGTTCGCTAGTTCTCGTCGTTGAATCATAAATACACATAAATAATACATTATCATACACATAAATCTTATTATGCATTCGTCAGTTATACAGCCGTCAAATAATTATTGGCCTCGACTTTTTTTTTCATTCCACAGCACCAATAATGACTGCGTTCAGCATAATGGTCAATTTTATCTAGTGCATAGGTTTTATGACCATTCGTAAAGCACAAATGTCATACCCTTCCAGCTCCCAGGCCGAGATGGGTCGCAAGAACTTCCTAAAGGATTTGAGGAGAGTCGTAATATTTCATTTGCGGTATTGTAAAAGCACTAAGTTTTTGAAAGACAAGCAGCTTGGCTGCGGCTGCAAATTTTTCGAAATTCAAAGTTGCAAGCTGGAAAAATTGGGGAAGATCTTAGACTTTCCAAGACTGCTGCCAGCTACAATACTTTTTTTGGCTCGTCCCTCCTCTCCCTCAAGAAAATAAATCTGGGAACGCCACTACTCGTGAGAGGACATTTTTTTGGTTGTTGTTACTTGTGATTATGCCTCCAAATTTGAGTATCTGTCTGATATAACGCTAATTTGAGGAAGTCCATGGTACTTTTGCTTTTACCTTGGGGTAATGCTCGTCAGCTTCGCTATCGCTAAGCTCTGGTTTTACCAAAGGAGGTGCTCGTGTACCGCTAGAGCCTTGCGAGAAATCTGTAGAGATTGAGGATGCGGTGAGAGGATCCTGAAGCGAAAAAATTCTTGAGGACCAAAATGAAGACGACAAAAAGTAGGAAAACGAAGTGTTGATAGCTAGTTGTTTTTTGCTTAAAATTCCTTTTCTGGTTGTGGAATCTTGTAAATATTTTGGAAACATCACCTTTCTAGGAGGTGTTGTAAGTCGATCTCGTGCTCCAGTGCGAATTTCAGCATGACCAGACCTCCGCAAACGAGGAAAAATATTCGTACGAGAGTCGAAAATGGCCGAGACTCGCTGCACAACATTCTAAAATGACAAATTCAACTGATGGTCAGCTGACACACAACTATTATCTTATATATAAAGCTGAATGTCTGTCTGTATGTCTGTCTGTATGTCTGTCTGTACGTATGTGCGGAATAGAAATTTTTATTTCTGAACCGATTTGGACCGAACTTGGCACACATATACTTCGGGGCAGGGAGCGTGTCATAGGCTACTTTTCGTTATCGATCGATATCGATTTTATCGATTTTTTGCAAAATTTGAGCTACGGGGCTGGGAGTTGGCACAGGGGGGTAATCGAGCATGCTGATTACGAATATAATAATGACAGGGCCGGGCGGAGCCGGGTTTGCCAGCTAGTTGTACTACTATTGCAGAGAGGAAATCCCTCATTTGGGCATACCTTGGATCTAGGAGGCGGTGCAAGTCTCGTTTTGAGTCTTCGATTTTCCGTTCTCAACGAGCCAATTTCATCCACGAGACTGCATAAGACACCTAAAATTTCTTACTTTGAGATTTGTTGAAACACTATACTCTTCAGTAACTTGATAGTCAGTCCTAATTCGGATATTTGCCAGAAATAACTAACTAAGAATAGGTGCAGGATCTTGTGGCACTGCTTCCTCCTCTTGCTCGCTATTTTGTAGTGATGCTCGCATTTCCTCAAGCTCTCGTAGAAAGTCATCTTCCTCTGATTCATATCTGAACAGGATTAACTTCATTTTCAGTCTGAAGTTCGTTCTCACTTTGCAAATTCATGATTTTTTATGATGAGCATAAAAATGTCAAAGATAATAGATGTAAAAATTGACGGGCCCTTCATCCCCTCAGCCTCTATAATCACCCTCCCAATTAGTGATGGACTGAATTTGATCAACAACATTTTTTGGAATTGCAACAATAACTAGGATCGGCATATTTTCTTCTTCTACTTATTTTTTATTATCTTCTTCTATATCTATCTCACATTTGCCAATCTTAAATTTTACCATGTGAAATCCTTTAAATTTATTGCACGCTAGGATCATTTCATCTATGCAATAATTAGGCACAAAGTCCATTATGGATCTACATGAATCGTTGAGAAGTCCTCAAAAAACTTTAAACTGCTTGTTAAAGTGCTTCGAAGCGGATACGAAGAGGAATAGAGCAATCAAAATAATTACATGAGAAAAACAAGTACGTTTGAGAGGTATTAAGGCTACATAATCGGTACTGATGGTTCTTTAGAATGTCTGACTCCGTCCGCATTTACATTGGTGTTTGATGTTTAGAATGAGAGTTTTAGTCAAAGTGAGATGCCTATATGGGTCCAAAATGAATCAAAACTACTATTTCGGACATCAACGAAAATATTTTTTCTAATTCTTTGATTTATGAGAAGTATTCGTATTTTTGTACATGTATGACAACGTTTACCGCATATCACGTTTACTTCTAATTCAGATTATTTCCTTATGATTAGTACTAAGAAACTTGTCGTGCAATGCTCTTTACCACTAAGAAAATATTGTGACCTCCTTTATTTTTGGACTTGCTGGGTAGAAAAGCTCACTTTTTTCTACGAATACAAAAAACGTGCTCCGTCTTTTAGATATTCGTCTTGTGAATATGCTTTTAGTGTTCTAACAACTATTTATTAGCTATTCTATCAATTATCTCCATGTGAGAAATTGTCCTCAAATCAAATTGGTCCTCCCCATATGCAGTACTATTTCTTTAGGTTTCACTGTTAACTTTTCTCTTCCAATTTGGTCATGCCTAGTATAATGGATCGTAATTTGATTTTTCCCATCTTAGTGCAAATATACTACTGCTCAAGGAGAAGAGCATCTACAACTGTATACGCTTACGGCTGTACATCTAGATCTATGAACTATGTAACTGATACAGGGGGAGGGGCATGACCCCGTGGACGATTTTGTTAATCCATTCTCAACATTTTTCTGATTTCAAGCTACGAACGGACAGGTCCATGAATGAATATCTGATCTGCTTAAAGATGCCTGAGCGAGTGAAAATAGCAGTCTATTTGTAGCAAAGATCCAATTTTTGGATGTAACAAATTTTTTTTTAGATTTTGACTTCATACATCAGTGGATCAGATTTTTGAAAGTTTGGAAATAGAGCTCGCATTGGAGAATAGGGATTCAAAGCTTAGTAAAATATGATGATGTTTAGGTCAGAAGTCATAAACCCAAAGTCATTATTATTTTCTGTATGGTTTCTATGAGCAAAATTTTGCTCTAAGGCCAAATTTGGGTGTATGCCCCAAGGCGCGGATCTTAGATAGGATTAGATTAGATTACTAGATTCAAGCAGCCTAAAGCAAGGTTTTGGGGCTTTAGACTGTGAATTCATAAATGTGTGTAGCAGAGTATAATACAGGTATATTATTATTATCATGCCTAGGGAATCCTATGAAGCACAAGAGCAAATAAACATGACAACAATAAGAACAACTATCAGCATTAAAGGTGTAATGATTGCAACTGGCCTTGTAGAAGATGTCTGAAGGAAAATTTCGTGTGGATCTGGCATTGCAAAAGTTAACTGTATCAAGTTTAAGGGTATTATAAATTTGGTCAAATCCGCGCCTTACGAGAATCGTCTTCTGTCAGTTGATTTTTGATTTTATTCAATAATTTCGATGAATGGTAAAAATACAAATACTTACCTATCGATGATTTCTCTGACCGAATAGGAGCCAGCCGTCGACGGTTGACTGCTGCCGGTCGACGCAGCGGTCATTTTCGGTTGTGCAGTCGTTGGTGCAGCCGGATCGGTGCTGATGGCACCTCGTCGTCGCCGTTGTAAAGCCGCTTGGCCAAAACAGCAGCATCTCGACGATCAAATGTGCGCGAGCGACACCGGATCGGCATCGAATGCCACAACATTTGTGAACTCGATGCAGTTTGGAGCTCCCTAAGAATCTCATTTGTGGACTTCGAAGTGTTTTGAAAGTGGGCCATCCCAAAAGACCAAAGATCAGTTGTTGACCGAAAAATAATCACACAGAAGAAGGAGATAAACAATCGGGAACTCATTACTGCCGCTGTGATTGAAAATGCTCCTCCTTGGTTCTTCTCGTCTACTCAGAGCTAATTCTAGTTCCAGTCCATCTTCCTCCTGTCGATAGAGCCGGTCTTCGGCTATCATTCAACCAGTGTATCCCAAATTACAATTTTTCGCGCTTCTGATCAACAACTCTGACAGTCTATATCTGCATGATTTCAGTTTTGGAAAGTGTCCCATAAGCATTTATTTTATTTTTATAGTTTCTGTCATTTTTCTTTAAGTGTTACTTTCCATGAGCAAAACTTTATTCTAAAACGCCTTGCCTATATCATTTGGAGCTCTTTTTTTCTAGTTTTCTATATAAGCTCTCGTTTTTATAAAGTTCTGTACAATCTGCGGTTCCTCCCCTTGATTGTGCAATATTCCTTCGCTTTATTTCCATCACATCCGCAAGCACCGCAAGCAAAAAACGGAAAATTTTGGAAATGCGTGTAACGTTTGCTGTAAACTTGCGCCACATACTGCTTACCAAGATGATTTTCGAAAAAATTTTTAAAATTTTCTGGCATTCATACCTTGCCGTTGTAGTCCTTATAAGTCACATGAAATCAACATGCACTTGCAATCGCGAAACGCTCGCTCTATACAACAGTACTGCCTTAGCTTATCTTGCATTAGAAATAAAAAAAATTTGCTCGTAATTTGCACAGCGAAACGATTAGAGTAATCTGAGAAAAACGCTTTTTTGCCACCGCAAAGAAACAAATCAAGTAAGTTCTTTTATTAGCAAAAATTTCCTATCAAATTCTGGAAGACTCCAGGCCTGTATCGCTGTTCAGCCGACTCTTGTGTTATCCTACGACACCTATAGCTGGTTATGGTCTCTCATTGTCAGAATATAGCCTCCAGTGTTTGGCCTTCTTCGGATTCGAAAACCTTTCTGGCATTTGTTGCAACAATTTTCGATTATGAATAGTTTTAGCAAGGATTTGTAGATTTTCCAGTATAGTCCTTTAATTGTGATCATTGCTGGAATTGGTCATGGTGAATCAAATTTGAGATTGCAACTTTGTAGATCATTTGGAAAAAACTCATAGAGGGACTCTAATGCGACAGTGATAAATACATTCACTATAGATAAACAAAAATATACTTCTGCACTCATAACTTCCACAATGTTGAACAATTGAGACAATACAATAGTTTCCGCTTATCCGCTTGGATATTTATCGGGTATGAAGTGAACGATCTCCTAAAAAAAATTTTTGAAATTGAAAAAAATTTGAAATTTTTTTTGAAAATGAGATCTCGCGAATTGTGAAATTTTGAAATTGTGATCTCGCTGGAAGTTCGGGGTTAGCTTGTAAAATTTTGTCGCACATTTTAGAGTAAGTTCAAATTGTCTCCTCAATGAAAAAATCAGCACCGCGAAGGTGAGTCTTACCAGAAAAATCAGAAATTGTTTGCGGTAAATATTAGGCGCCCGAAAGTTCTGCTGTTTCATTTTCAAAAATTTGTAACTTTGCGCTGTTTCAACGGATTTGCTTGCCTATAATTTTATTAGAAAGAGTAAGTTTTTCGCTTTCAAATCCTGTTCCAAGGAGCTTCTGTATAATATTGGGTGCAAAGATAAAAATGGAAAACTAAGACCATATAAGCTTTGACCATTTTGAGTTAGGTCACCACAAATCTGGAATGCTGCAGAAAAATCTGAAATCGTCAGTACATATGTTTCTTGGCCTACTCTTTGTAACTTTGAAGAATTTGTGCTGTTTGGACGTCTCTGTGAGAAGTTATGATTTTCGCGAAAATTGACAAATTAATCAATTTTGGCGTTTTCCATAGTAAACTCGATATTCATAACTTCTCACAGAGAAGTCCAAACAGCATAAATTTTTTACAGATGCAAAGGGTAGGCCAAAAAACATATGTACTGACGATTTCAGATTTTTTTCCAGATTCATTCCAGATTTTTGGTGACCTAACTTAAAATGGTCAAATCTTATATGGCCTTAGTTTTCCATTTTTATCTCCGCATCCAATTTGAAACAGAAGCTCCATTTGTAACTCCACGAAAAGGAGTTACAAATTTTTGAAAATGAAACAACAGAACTTTCGGGCCAAGCTACTAATTGACAAGCCTCTGAATTTCTTATCCATAAAAAAGATAGTGATTGATTCCATTTTTTATGCAAGGCACAAATTATCTTAAATGGCAGCATAAGCTTTTAAAGATGAAAGCTTCTACTTTTTCTAGCGAACCCTTTAGTCTTTTTTATGCCATCGTTTTCCATCTCTGGCTTCAAGCACACCGGAAGGATAGTCACATAATTACTTCTCTATGTTAGCAAACATACATCATCCTGTTTTTGTTTCAGCTTTTTTGGTCTTATGATTTCAATTTTATGCTCCTAAAGACATCTGCGAAATACCGTAAACTTCTATTCCTTAATCGAATGCGTTTCGAACTTTTCGCATTTTCAATAATATCAATTTTTATGAAGAAAGTGCTAGAAACATTTATCAACTTGGCGCATTTCCAATAACAGGCTACAGCTATTTGATGAAGGAAGGAAGAAAAAGATTGTAGTCAATCCACATCTCCATAAATTGAATTTTATATCACATCTGCAAGCTAGTCGTTACATATTTATTCGTTTAACTAAGAGCACTCACAAAAAACCTTGGGTTTTTAAAATAATACTTTTAGTATACTCTCGGACTTTCAAGCTCTTACAAGCTGTATTCTATGACTATAAAATTTTTGCTAAAATAAAGCTCCGTTGCAGTTCCGGGTATAAAAAATAAAAACATAAAGGGGTCTGAAAACCTCTTTCTTCGCTTTTCTCACGATCGCTGGATATTCAAGAACTTTTTATGCCCGATGAAATCCCGAGCTTTTCGGCTTTTGGTTCTTCCCACGACAAAGCTTTGCCAAATCGCACATCAGAAGAGAAGAGAAGACAAAAACTGACTTATATTCCCATTTCTTGTTTTCTCGCTCAAAAACCACAAAAATGACGAATTGGCCCTTTGCAACTTGCTCTTTGGTCAATTTGACAAATTTCTTATCTAATTGGAAGCTAAAACGTTGCAGAGCATAGAAAAATTTTGCAGGATCAGATGTCAGTCTTCTTTCCATGATTTGCATCCTACTTTTTCAATGTATAGTATCCGAAGTGAGCTTAAATAGCAGAACTATGCTAGGCATCACTATCATTATAGCTATATAGCATTTCTTGAAAAAAAAAACCTAAGATACGTGCATTATAGCAGTTTGAAATCAGTGTCAAGTCCCGCGATTCTTCTTAGTACATACCTGAAGTGGTTTGAAGTCAGATATTGCATCTGGTGGTACAAATCTGCAAATTGTTCGAGAACTAGCTTACAGAAATTTGATTTTGTAATTGTACTTCAAGATTGTCATATAAAGCACTGAAGCTGTACTCCTTTCAAATTTGTGGAAATATAGTTTGTATCTTGCTGGAAGTATTTGCTGTTATCATCTACAGTATATTCGGAGCAACTCTAAGGGGATACCAAGAAACATGAAATTAATTTCTGAATTGAAAATCCATCGTTCAAGAAAACCCCTGAAATACTGTTTGTCGCAGAAAAAAAGCGTTCCTATCGAAAATAAAAAACAATCTATGACCCAACATGTGGTCCTCAGACAATTATTACAAGCATCCGCGGCCCTTAATCGTGTCTTTTGGTGGCGCGCGGGCGTTGAATTTTAATACTGACCCTTCGCGGCCCTTAATTCACTTGCTTGGTGACCTGCGGCTCAATGTTTTCGCTAGTTAAAGGCCGCGGGTCTTAATTCTTCTACCGGGACACCCGCGGCCCGGGAAAAAACACTCGGGCGGGCCACGGACCTCATTTTCGGGCAGGCCCCGGCCCTTCTAGGCAACGGCTCAACAGAATCAGTCTGACCAGCCGCGGGCCTTGCCGGACGCCGCAATTTTCTTACATGCTGTAAGCAAAAACGTTACTCGCGTGAGATACGCCGCGCTGATAGAGGTACCCTCAACGTTTATGCTGTTCCTTATCGTTTCTCGGTATGTGGCTAGTAGTAAGGACGGTCTGCTGAGGTATCCTCCCCCAGGATTCCCTGAAGTTGGAGTCGGGGACAGGGTCTCCACGAGGGAAGACAAATTTTGATGCATACCCTAACCCATGTGCCAGGGCGCGGCAAATGAACAGATGTTCAAAAAATGGAAATGTACATTGTACTGCGTTTAGCAACTGCGTATCGGGGCACCCGCGGATGCGTATCGCGCATCAGTCGGGTGCTTGTCTGGACATCCGCGGGCGTCTTTCGAGCGCTTACCGGCGCATCCGCGGGTAACTCTCGGCTGCTTAGCGTGCGTTTACTCTACCACCCGCGGCATGGATGAAACGTCGGCGCGGGCCCTTCCGCGGGTGGTCGCAATAATTGTCTGAGTCACAGTTCCCAAGTGGCGGTCATTGCTTGTCCCACCATGTGGGTCACGTTCTCGTCAATGTGTTAAGCTGCGTTCCGCGTTAGATTGCCCGCGTTAGCGTGCCAGAGACGTTCCACGGGCGTTCCAGCGCCATGCTGGAACATGGATCAATCAATGTGGGAAGCGTCCAAGTGGGTGCCTGCGTGACCCTAGCACGACGCTGGCAACGGATTTGGCACGAGCTAAAATAGGGCACAAGAATAGCTCTAGACGCTGTTTTACTAGCAAGCAGATTTCTCACCTGCA